ATGTATAACTTTTGTAGTTTGATAAAATTCGCTATCTTCCGTAGATTCAAAAACTCCTTACGATAAGTTATGAACAATTGAAGCGTTGCCAAATCGCTCCGCGACTGGAATCGCGTGAGGTATGCCTTAGGCCATAGAGTTATGTAGCGATTAACATTACGTTGCTGCTTCTGCGGCATAGGAGGTTACACTCTGTCAATTTTTTGTACCGAAACTTTACATGAGTTATTTGCCCAACAATGATTTGCAACTTGTCGCTTTTTGCAATAGATAGTGATGATAACGTATAAATGAAGAGTGAGCGTGATGTGTCGCATAAGAAAAGTCCAGACTTCATATGAAAACGGTTTTTGTGAGCAATATCAGACCATTGTTAAGTAATTCACCATAGAACGCTTAAACTAGGATTTTTCCAGTCAGGGTCTTTTCGCAATAGAGACGAAAATTTTGCGGATACTTTTCTTTTTAGCTATCTATTATGATAATTTTAGATTGTATTTTAGAAAAGTCGCATATATCTTCGAACGTCGCCATCGAAGCGAGCTACACAGTTTTGCAGATGAGTTGCTAGAGGATGAGAACCTGACATTTGCCCGTTACTGTGAGGTAAGCGCAGTGCACAGTCAGTTTGCTTCCAGAAAACATTTGTTTTGCTTCTAGATAGTTGATGAATTTGGCAGAACTGCAGACGAGATGGAGAATGGGATGTCATATGGGAGATTGGTTGGCTCCTCATTTTGAAATTTGACATCGTTTTGAACCTCGTTCATACAGGTGGGACTGATATCATTTGGAGGACTGGTAGCTGCAAGGTTGTATGATCGGAACCTACGTCGGGAAGTTCAGCAACTTGCTCTCTATACAGCCAAATTCATTGCAAAACGAATACGATTGACATGGGTGGAGGATGATAGGAGCTGGGTGAGTCTAAAGCTATGATTTATATACCGCGGTCATGTTCCAAACTAAAGTCAAAAATAAGTTGTTTAATCTTTTGAGTATTTTCGAGAGGTTCTTATTCTCGCTCTTTTGCTAGGTTGTTAATCAGAGTGTTGTTTTGTCTTTCAGAAAAGCTTCATGTTAATCGCAGCGGATATCATTCGTAGAGATGCGGCACAACGTGAAGCAGCTGAACGTCGAAAGTCAACTCGACGATGGAGTCTGATAGGCATCGGAGCAGCAGCTCTTGTCGGAGTTGGAGCTATTATTGGAACTCGTGTGTTACTAGGGGCTAAGTAACGATCTCTGCTATCATATTGCATATTACCTCACTTACGTTAATCTCAGCTTCTTTTCTTCTCCGCGGTCACTGCATGCATTTACTGCCAGTATTTTTTTCTTGTTTAGCATCGCTCATGTACTCCCATTCCAAAATGATACTCTTCTTTGAGAGCTGATGTTTTTTCTTTCTGAATCTCGACGTTTGATCTGTTTTTCTTTTCTGTATATATTTTGAGCCTTGTGAAGTAAATACACTTTATTTGCACAATCAAAAGCGTAGAAAATTACAAATCAAAAAATAATTATTATAAAGCAGGCTGTGATGAAAAAAAAATGGGCAGGCATGACTCCTTCAGCTAGGTACGTACGATCGGCCGCTGAAATGAAAAACAAGACGATAGCATTTCTTTCCTCTCGTATTGGGTATTGGTAATAAAGAAATAGCCTTTGATTCAACGGAGTTAGCGGCTGAAGGCGACCGCTTTCGCGCCGCAACGCAGTCTGCGTCTCTCACGAGGGTGCTATCTGAGTATTAGTCGTGATTGGGCCTTGAAGCCCCGCCTCCTAGCCGCCATTTTGTTAAATCAATGAATACATTTTGATTGGGCGCGGAAGTTCAAGGTATGTACAGTCTACCGATAAGCAAGGTTTGGGATACCTGTAAGTTTTCTTCTCCAGCTTCACTTCTGGACGTGCACGATTCAAAACTTTCAAGAAATCATTCGTCTTTGACCGCATTCTTGAGTGCATATAGACCTAAAAACATTTCCACATAGGTATATTTTAATGATAAGCAGTAAGATGATATAAAAATACCTTTGAACACTTGATATGGTAATGGAGATAATTTCGGAAAGTATGTATCAGATCTATAGTGTTGTCACGCGCATTTTTGTTTGTATGACGTGGAAAGAGGACTGTAAGCAGGAATTATATGAGAAAAGGAAAAAGAATGATAACATACCAAAAGTGATGTAGCCGACATTTTCACCAACTCTGGCGCCTGGTTGATCTCGTAGCTCTAGGGGTGGTTCACCTAATGAATACAGCACTGCTGGTGCAGTCTGGCTCGCTTTACGTCCTTCACGGAACTCCTAGAAATTAAGCAAATCAACGAAAAGGCCATTGGAGATTACAGTCATATAATTACACTCTGATTCAGCCAAATAGGCGGCTGTAGGGCGGGGCTTGGTGACCTGATAAGGCTAGAGAAGATCAAACAGCACGCGCGCGAAGGAGGTGCAAAGCCTGCGTCTCCCACCGCTTACGTGCTTTCTAATCGATCGAAGCCCCGCCCTCCAGCCGCCTATCCGGTTGAAGGAGAGGGTAAGTTACTTACCTGCAAGAACACTTTCCCAATTATGACGTCATCTGGGTCTTTGAAAATTGTGCTAAATATAACTGTAACTCGATCAGCTTTAGCTTCTATGTACCTGGAAAAAACTGCTTAGATTCTATGACTTCCCAACAAATTACCAACATAGTCTCGTCTTCTCTGTAATTGATCACAGCTCTTTTTTGTCCTTCTTGGCCAGTTTCTTGGAACTCAAAGTACTTCTCGAATACAGAAGCAAAGCAGTTCCTCTTAAGCATGGATGCTTTTTGTACTGAAAAATACGGCTGTTTGAACACCAAAACATAATCTACCTTCTAAGACACAGATGTGCCATATTTTGAAACGAAAGAAAAAACTTGCTGCACTCTGATCTTCTGAGCATCCAAAAGCAAATAAAAACTTACTCAAAGCAGCATGATCAGCAGGAAGTGCGGTCAGATCAAATAACAGCGATACATTGTAACCAGGCTCAGGCGTAGTCAAATATGAGCCATACTCTCGACGCAGAAGCTGAAACCAGTATTATTTAGTCGAGGTGATACCCAACTCAGAATTACTAAAAACCTACAGCATCAGCACCATGCTCTTGCAGTTCTTTGAAGAACTTCAGTGAGATGCTCAACTGAAAACATGCAAAATGATTCCCTGATCTGGTTCGAACCTTACATATTCTCCAAAAATTTTACTTGCCTAATTCAGAGGAGTAAAACAAAATTCGTCTGCAATATTCTAAGAAAGCCTGCATGAGGCAAAAAGCTGTCCAAGTGGCTACTTTTACTCGTGATTAATTAGCCATTTTCTGGTTAAAAAAAACTCTAAAATTCAAAATAATTCATTAGTAAAAAATTCTACGTGGTATGGCTTCGGCCCCTGTCAAAAGTTCAGAGTTAGTTGCATAGCTTGAAAAGCATCTTAAAATAATCTCGAGAGGGCGTGGCTACCACTAATCGAAAAGAATTCTGTCTCTTCTTGAAAAATTCTCGCGAGCCACTGGCCCCAACGCTAGGCACATTGATTAACAAATCTGATTATAAACTCGCTGAGTTTTTATTCTAATGATTAGCTTGCTTAGTTTAGAAGTAAGAGAATTTCGATTGCTGTCCTTTCTCCCAAAAATTGACTTCTACCTC